TTAAATATCTAAGGCACACATTGAAGGTATTTACATGTCTCAACTTTGACAATCCAACTTTATAAAGAAATAAAAACTTCAATATTTTGGACAAAAAAGTAAATTCATAGAAACATTGAGTAATTATCATTAAAATATAACTATCCAAAGAGTGAGATTTAACATAAAGTTTACTCCACTTCATTATGTATGTAATCAAGTAACTTTTGAAATATGTGAGTTGCAATACCAGAGTTTTTTTATGACGCTTATCCATAACGCAATATTCACAAAAATCTAAGTCCACTATATCCATGACAAGTAATAAGATTCTATCTCCAAGGAGTGTTAAATATCTATTATTCATTTGTAATAACCTAGCATATCATACATAAGTCACTTCAACTCAAGATTTTGTAAAGTTGACTTCATCATGGATGTTGTTGTACTCAAACATGGTTATGTTTGTGTATTTTTTAATTTATTCTTATAATCTAGTATCATCTCTAATTATATCTCTTTTTAGCTTCATTCAATGATTTTTGAATCTAATACTCTAAAAAACATAAGATATTTTTTCATAAGGCTCAAGGAAGTAAGTAAATATCTTCAATCTACAAGCCATCTCTTATTGGTCTTAGTACTTCTCAATGCCTTTTTTTGCTCCAAGCAGTGTCTTTGATTTCACATGAAACTTTTTTGCTCATTTAAAAAAAAAACAACTTAAGGGCGCAAGATTATAGAATGAGTTGTGATACGCCAAAAAATATATATATTTTTAAATACAAACTCAAAGCCATTGTTTTACGTATTGCGATACTACTTGGTCAAAATATTTGTAGCAAAGTAGGTATAAATCTGGTTTGAATAAATGAATTTTAACATTCATTTATATAGATATATTAGATTTAAATATTATGATATTGATTATTTTTCATAAGAATTAAATTTTTGGATACTAAAAAGTTCAAAATAGGTTTTTACAACAAATGCAATAAATCCAAACACTATTTAAAATCCATGCATCAAAACTCATGATTAAGCAAGTCATATTTTTTAAGATTTGAGATTTGTAAACCACATTGACTTAAAAGGAATCACATTGACTTTAATCTTCACATGACATTTCTTATTAACGTGGACATTTTTTTCACGTTTTCAATTAGATATAATTATATTCTTTAGGTATTTATTTTTAAAAATAAATATATATCTTAATCCATTACAATTGTTATCTTTGTCATTTCATGAATATCAGCAATTTCAAATCAATCTCATGTTACATAAATGTCATACACGATGAAAAAAAATGATATTATCTTTTATTATAAATCATTAGTTAACAAAGCCCGTATAATATTGTTGCAAGTGATTATTTATTTATAAGATGAAATAACATACATGACAATGATTGATAAACCGTAGTTAATGAATTTAAGATATGAAGAATTTAGCTCTTATCACCTATTTATTCTCCAAGATTTTGAAAATCAATAAAAAGATAATCAAAAACATCAATGAGATATTTTATCTTTGTGCTTTAAACATCAGATTATAATCATCATACTTATTTTATTAATATAAGATTAAATAATTAAATTTGTTGCAAATGTAGTATGATAATAAACACAACTTGCTTTTTAATCTTCTTGGCTTATTTTTTGTGAATGGCTTTGGTTTCAACATCTTGATCGAACTTGTAGAATTTAACACGACTGTTTTTTTTTGTCTCTTCCAATAGATAGTCATCACGTTTATTTTATATAATTTTGGCAAATTTACTTCTCAGATTTCATGTCTGCCATCTTGTTTTGTCAAATTTTGGATATAATTACTTGCGTTGTATGAACTTATAGAATTTTTTTCTGAATCAGAAAACTAACTGTGATTCATTTTATTTGAGCTTTATCTTCAAAAATGTTGTAAAATTAATTTTTTTTATTTAAATTTATTATAAGATTAAGGCTAATATATCTACATCTATATCTTTTTCCATTGTAAATATGGATTTTCAATATCCACTTGAAATTGTTGATTTTGAAACAACTATATACCAACCAACTATGTACCATACCAATATGTACAAGGGGATACAATTTCATCCATATCATTCATTTTACTCTTAGTGGATTGATGACATGACGAAAAATCCTAAGAAGTACAAGGATCGCTAACGAGGTGTTATAAACTAACACATTTACTCTTTACATATCAAATACATGGATTTTTGATGTGAGAAATATGAATATTGCATTATCAGTTAACTATAACTTCATCTTGAGTAAATTTTACTTTAATTCTAACTAATTAAAGATGAATTCATCTTGTGACACAAAAATTCAACTATACAAATATCTATTATGATATGGCAAAAATATTCTTCTTGACGTGAATTTTAACACCTTAGTTGCTGTATAGCGTAGATTCAATCAATATGTTATCTTTGCACAATTGGAATCACACTTTGAACATATGATTTTACTTCTTGAGCTCGTCTATGTCGATCTTTTTGAACGTTTGCTACCGTCTTTGATCCATTTGCAAAATTGCAATATTTTGACAAAGTGTCAAAATTTTGCAATATCCTCAACTTCTAGATTTACCTTTCCATACACAGAGCTTTGTTGGATGATCAAGATCAATGAATATGTAGTGAGATTGTCTCAAAGCACAGAGATTGTAATTGATCATACGAAATTCATACTTTTAGATGAGATCCATTTTCAAATTGTCACTATCTCATATCAATTGTAACTTATTTTTAAAATTAAAATTATGAATCCAGAAACACACAAATTGATATTGAACTACGTGATTTGCCACTACAGACTAGTTTTACAAAAAACAAAAAAACATTTTACTGATAAAAACTTTAAAGTGTTATCAAGAGCTTTTGCTAGTTTTTTTAAATAATGACATCATAATCTAAATTTTAATTAAAGTAAGACCAGCCTAATCCAAATATACCTGAGTTGACTATAGTTAAAAGTACAATTTGCATTAATCATTGACATATATACGAATGAACAATCATTTAGTTGATAATTGAAGTACATAATCTATTAAACAATAGGAGTATTGATGGATGAAATTTGATGTATTGATGACTAGTGATGAGAGATTTAGACATTGAAATCATTTTCACTGTATAATTATGTCATATGTTACATATATTTTATGTTTTTTATACAAGACATCACGTGTGACTCATACCTATTACTTTTTGCCATCTACTAGTATCAGCATACTCTACACTTCCACTTCATGAATAAATTTAAAATTCGTATGGTTGAGATCATATATGTATTTTTTCCAGCAAGATTGCATGTTTTTTACCTGCATTCATTCATATAGCTTTGTAGATCTGAAAAGTTATTTGAACTAGTTATGTTGAACTTCTTTACAACAATCAATTTCTTTATAATTCATGGTTTATCTACCTTGGTTTTATTTATTTGTCATTATGTTCACATGACTCGGTAACAACTCACAGACATGTGATAGTTATTTATTGTAGCACCAATATGTTTCGTGGCAGTAGAGTATGGAGTTTATCTTGATATGTGTTGCATGAAGTTGGAGTAAGTCATGTTTATATATGTGTGCGAACACAAAATATGTAACGGTTTTTATGGTTCGAGATTATACATTAAGAGATTATGACTCATCCACTGTCGTGGTTAGAGATTATATATTGAGAGACCATGACGAGTTCGCTAAGTCATGTAAAATATCCACTATACTGATGGTATATAAAATGATTGTTTTTTTTGTTTCTCTTTTGTAGTATGTAAGACAAAGTAAAATTGTGGTTCTACTTGGTGTATCGTAATGGGAATTCAAAGACGTAAGATGTTGTAAGTTGACTTACTAGCAGTGTTTTGTTTGTTCATAGTATTTGACTGAAGAGAATATATATATATATATTCTTTAAGTCGCAGCACTACAAACTTTCCTTGCTGACAGTAGTATAGACTCTTTTGTTTCTGACCTTTTCGAGCCGCGGGTGTGAATTAGACAATTTTTCGCACATTCTTGACGGTCTAATTGAACTCATATTCCCAAAATTACAGTATTTACGCATTTAGAGCGTCAAAGAATAAACTGTGCAATGTTGTAGATGTACAAAAACGTAAATCAGAGACCGTTCGATAAAAACCAAGGAGAACATAGATAGTATCGAGAATTGTATAGTCTAGGGTCACTTAATGAGCTAGTAAATGATGACATATAAAGTGACCAGAGGATAACACAATGTTTTCTGTTTTTCAGAAATGATTGAAGTAATTGTTGGACAGAAAGTTGGTACTTTCTTTTCCGTTAGGATATAGATGTATATTTATAGATATGTGCAAATTATTTCATGAAGTGGCAAGAAATAAATTATAGTTATAATTTCCCATCAGTCAAATGAATATGTTCTGTAATAGGTTTTATGTACATGATATACGAGTTTAGACGAACAGGTTTAAGTACCACGATATTTTGTATTGTGTACTTTATTGTGTACATTTTCCTGCGTAATATAAAGATAAGAATTTATTTACAAATTTCATTTTTTTTACTTAATAAGTTAACTGTATTCTTTACATTTTTATTTTTTTCTTCCCTATTTCAGTGTCAAGCTATTTGACGAAATTATAGTTTAGTATGTTTACATTCACATGTACGTATCTATTATACACGAAATAAGCATTACATATTATTATAACATTGAGAACACATCTCTTTTCTGTTGATTCTACTTTGCTTAGTAACTATTTTTGATTGTTGAATGAAGCATTTCTTTTACTGTTCCTAGATCTCGTCCCTGCACATATAATTCCATTATGTGAATAGTTAATGACAAATTTAAATCATTCTCTCATCATCAGTTCCACATCTACATTGGATTCAGTTCTCAGGTGTCCATTTGAAAATGCCAAACAAAAAGTAGTACATATGTTCATGACAAACGTTCAAAAGATTATCTCTGCGCATGTCTACAACAGACAAACATGTAAACAATTAAATGACACGATGGATGAAATCCCAACAGTACAATTTTGGTTTAAAATACCACGTATTGCTAAACATACGTGAGTATATATATACAGTGAAAGCTCGAAAAATCTTTTATACTGGTAGGGGTTTCTCGTTTTGCATGGATCTGTAACTTTTAGTCCTAACTGCACAAATCCAGGACGGGCTTGGGGCGACCTGACAAAAATTTCGACGAAGAAACTACGTTGTCACTTTCAAAGGTCTATTTACATTAAAAAATACCATACTTCGGGACTTGGGGCTGAATGGCGAATGATTACAGGTATTTCATCTGCAAAAAGACTTTAGATTCGAGACGAAATCAAGGGAGTATTCTTAGAAAGATGAGCCTGAGCTGCAGCAATTCCACTTCCCAGCTTAATATTCACTCCGAGCTCCACGAGAACAATCTCCACTCCAGCCAACGCTCCCAGCAGTTGCAACTGCGACGTAAAACAAGGGTGTCAGATTTTGCAAGTGTTGTTACAACTCCTGTCGATAAAATGACAGCGGAATTGCCAGCAGATTCAAAACAAGCGAGACTAAACCCGATATTAACATCCTTAGTTATCAGCAGCGGATATGGGTAGAGTGGATACCGCCTGACATGTATAAAACAAACTTCCAGTTGTGTGAATGTAGTGGCATATCGAACATAAGAGAGAACCCGTACCTCGTTCATGCTTCCCAGATGGCCAATCCTGAACACTTTGCCTGCAACCTTGTTGAGGCCGACTCCGAGACTGAGATTGTACTTCTTCCAGGCCAGCTTGACCACGTTGGCGCTGTCGATGTGAGGTGGCACTACGACGGCTGTGACGGTGTCACTGATCCACTCATCCTTCTTGGTGGCTATCGTCAAGCCCCATGCCTTGACAGCTTCCCTGTTCCACACAGCACGAGACCAAACATCAGCGCCTTGAGCTTACGACTGCTAGACGAGGACCTCCGGCCTGACGTCGTGCGACGCACTGCGACTGCGCTGTGGCCGACGGCAGGGCAGGGACAGACCGCGAATTGGACTTGAGGGATTTCTTCCTGTCGGTTCTCGGCGTCGATAAACGAAGGGCACGGCGTAAGAAGTCGTACCTGGTAGCGCCTCCCAGGCGATGGTGCCGGGCGATGACATTGTCCAGTCCTTCGTCGAAAATCAGATCCAGCGCGGCGCGGAGCCCGTACAGGAGTTGAATGGACGGAGTGTAAGGCCAGTACGTGCCGGCGGCGTAGAATTTGATGTAATCGGCCCAGTCGAAGAACACCCTGAGAGACTTGGAGGTCTTCGCGGCTTCCAGGGCCTTGGGACTGGCGCACACAATCCCCAACCCGGTGGGCAACGAGAGCGCTTTCTGAGACCCTGTCAGAGCTACGTCCACTTTCCAGTCGTCCATGCGGAAGTCGATGGCGCCGATGGACGACACTCCGTCGACCAACAGCAGCGCCGGATGCCTCACTTCGTCTGCACACGAGGACAACAATTCCGAGACAGAGATGAGCTCCGGGCCTCAGTTCACGCAAAGCAACGGGCAAGACTCGTTAGCGTCGGAGCACCGGCGGCGACTCTGAGGATTTGGACCTTCAGAATCAGAACGAAAGGGAGTTGCGGGGCTTGCCTAGGACTCTGCGCACTCCTCCGATATCGTTCGTCACTCCGGTGGACGTCTCGTTGTGGACCACGCACACGGCCTTCACATTGTGCGACCTGTCTGCTGCAAGCTTGGCCTTCAACAGGTCCAAGTCCACGCCGCTGCCCCACTCACAGTCCACGACATCCACATCGAATCTCAGGCGCTGCATCTGGTCTATCCATAACAAACTGAATTGCCCGAGGCGGAACGAGATGATCTTGTCTCCCGGCGACAGAGTGTTGGTCAGCGCGCTCTCCCACGCTCCGGTACCTGCAATGCGAAGAGAATTGACAAGTCAAAACCGGCTGCAGCAGCGGCCACGGAAATATAGGCGCTCGGGTCCTGGCGATGCGGACGAGAAATCAAGCTCGTAGGCGCGCGCATGAGCAACGTGCGAAGGGAGGGAGGGCCGGTTACCTGTGGTGGGGAAGATGAAGGACGTGCCCTTGGAGCTTTTGAAAATTCTCTTGACGTCGTCGATGACCGACTTGGAGAGCTTGGGGAAGGCGGGCGAGCGGTGATCCTCATTGTTCCGGTTCATAGCCCGCATGACAGATTCGGGGATGTTGACGGGACCGGGGACAAACAGGTGGTTCCTGCCGGGGGCGGGCACGTAATCGGCCATTTTCGCGAATTGGAATGAGAACGGAGCAGGTGCAAAATTCGCTCGCTCTCGCTCGCACGCGCTCTGATGCCCGCAGACCGAAAGCGCAAGACGGAGCAGCGCAGGAGCACTGGAGTGGTGTGGATCTACTGGCTGCTGCGAGGGTGATCTTTAAAGCCCGGCTGCTCGATTTTCCGGACGCTGGCTGGAGCAGGAGGAAGGAGTGAGACAAATGTAAGGCTCTGGTACACCCGATCCTCTGGCTAATATCTACCTGTGGTTGGGGGCAGGGGTTTTGGAGCCACAAGCTGCGTCCCGGCGGGAGGCCCTGAGCCGCGGCAAGGTCTCCCGTCTCGCGCTCTGCGCAATTCTGCTGCCGCTGACACGCCCGGCCGTCCCGTTGGAACCCGTTGGAACCCGGACGCGAGCAGATGGGGGCTGCTGACCTCTCATCGTTCCCCTTATCTTGCTCCTCCACCGTACACAGCAACCACGGATCGGCCTCTTGCTGAGCGTCGCCCCGTCAGCCCACTCCAACCAGTCCACATTCAGTCGCTCGCTCGCGCTGGTGATCATGCATGTACAGCGTGCGCGAGGCCTGAGTTATTAGCTCGCTCCAAATTGTCTGGATTTAAATTAATCGGCTAAAATAATCGGATAATACACCCCCGGGGGTTTGTTTTTTCTCCTTTTTGGGAAAGAACACGCCATGTCGAGACTTTGGGGGAAGATCCGTTTGCCATTTTTGTAGTTGCGGCCCGCCCTCTTTCCAGGCTTTGGCCTCCGGATAGCTCTGTTCCCAGCTACAAGCCTCGACCACAGTAGTATATGTGGGGCTCGATTGGCAACTTGGTCGCCTGATCTCTGGTCGATCTCTGGTTCACGCCAGTGTGTCCCGAATCGACGACGCCGCGCGAGTCTGCATGATACACTCAAAGACTGCGCTCCTCCTGCACTCCTGTACAGCACTCTACGTCGCCGTTCTGGTCCTATGTGTATTATTGACCAGCACAACATATTCCTTCATGATTTCCATCTAGGACAGAAGATGCTGCAATCTTTTTCCTTGTCTCGTCGGTTTTGTCGTTCGGTTTAGCTTAGGAGCTAACAGAAGGAACTGTTCTGATTCTTCTGTCTTTGTTTGTCCACTACTCCTCATCGCCCGTTAACAACAGTTCAAATCAAATCTCAAATCTCCGCCCCCATTTGACAGCATCTGCGTCCGCCTTTATGGAAACCAACAAATTTATGTATATGGTTCCGAACGTAATTGAGTTCACAAGTATCTACGGACAGAAACTTTTCATCGGGAAGAAATATAAAAGAAGATCAACTCAACAAAGTCATACGATGGTAGAGATAATACCTCGATATAGATGTTATAAATTACAAACATAGGTCAACCTTCTTTCAGAAAATGAAGTCAATTTACTCGTGATTCTCACTAGCTTATGCTTTATTTATATGTTTGCTATCATATCTTTTCTTGTAAGATATGTTCATATTTATCACAAAACATCTGCACCTAAGAAATAATTGAATACATGAGGAACAAATCATTAAAATGAACACTATACGCTACTTTTCAATCATTCTCACTATCAATTATTTGCGACCCAATGAAACACAAAGGTTTTTTTTAATGTCATGAATTTATATATCATATTCAATGAAATTACATATTTCTCACCTATAATGTACATGATTCTTTCAAACTTGATCCAAGTTAATCCACAAGAATTATTAAAAATATAAGAATTTTAAGTATTGAACTTAGGAATTCTTCTACAAATCATACAGTCTTCAAAGAATTAATAAATCGTTCATCACTTCTATAAGTTGTGTGAAAATGTGTTACAATTGAAGATCTTAAACTCAAGCTTTCACATGCCAGTCACACAAAGCCCTTGCACTAAGCACACATGAGGGAGAGAAGCCATACATTTTTCACCTTGTTGAGCCAGGTACATGAAGCTACACTGTTGTTTTACTAAAAGCCCTAGTTTTGTTACTAAGAGCTACAATGAGTTCTAAGTGAAAAGCTAGAAAAGCTAACTATGTTGCAACTAACTAAGGTTTTTCCAAAGATATGAATTAACTTTAACGACCCTCCTTCTTGATTCAAAACTTGGAGATTATAAACTCCAAAGCTATATGATCACTTTGAGTAAAAACCTAGAAAGAAACCTAAAACATGTACTATTGTAAACTAGAGTTAACTAAATCTAAGCCTTAGTCAAAATACGATATAGTAAAATCATAGACATAGATAACATAATTGCTAGTCTAATATATTTGAATATATTTGCAAAAATTTCAATGTGACATAATATTTTGAGCATTTTTCAAATGAATCATCTTGATATGTATATCAACCAGGTTGATGTGATCATCGATTTTGATCAACTCAATCATTTTATCGAACAATGATTGTTTGATAACATACTAAAGCATGTCAATGTATTTACTCTATTGTACATCAACTGATTCACAACTCAAACTAAAGCATTTTCATAACGACAATAAAAATTCACAATATCTTTAGTTTATCTCATTTTAGTGACAAATATACATAGCAAAATTCCTTTTGCTTTCATTACATTTTTAATTTTTAATAGTAGACTAAGCTACACAACACTACAATGTGGATTTTTAATTTATGCATCAGTCTTCATATTTGAACACATATCTAATAAGAGGTTTTATCACATCCAAATTTTGTCTATAAATAACATTTAAAGACAATTTTTTTGACTATATAGACAACATGTCTATATAGTCAATCATTGATTTGAAATTTTTATTATTTTTTATGAAAAAATCATCAATTTTTTTTTTATATTTGAAAAGGAAAAAAAATTTGGATGTGTTACAGCTTAAATTAATTTTATAATGTGTTAATGTTTTTTTCTAGATTTGACATGAAGAAGCTAGTCTTGTTCATGAAATGAGAAACTCTCAAATAATGTCTAATAGACTTAAAAATGACATAATTTAATATAGATAAACAAATGAAATTGAATTTTAAACTACATAATAGAATTTTTTGATTTTCTTTCTTTCAGCTTTTTTTTATCAAATTATTTTATGATAATAAATTTGAAAATTCAAAATGATGATTTTTAATTTAACCACTTTTAAAGAAATTTTAATATTTATATTTAAAATTAACAAAGTTTTTTCCAAATTATCAAAGCATTTTTCAAATTTTGAGTTGTTATTATACTTTAAAACATCATTGTTGTATTTAATAAACCAAAAGAAAGCATATATTCTGAAATAATAATAATAAAGTAGGTTTGTGAACACACATGATATATCTTAAAATTACCAATAAAATATTTTTTTATTTTAACATTATATTTATTTTAAAATGTATTTATCAGAATTAAAAATTTGAATTTATTGTGAATATTCTTATTCTCTATATTTTATTTAAAATTAATCTATAATTTTATACATGCAAAATTTAACGTTTAAAAATCTCAAATTTGAAAAAATAGATAATCTAGAATTAATCACAATGATGAAATGAATTTGATATACTACAATCATCTTTTGATAACTTAAATTAAAACATTCAAATTTTCTTTGTAATTTCTATATATATACAGCATAGAATATTTATACATTTAAAATTAAAATATTATTTATTGATTAATTAAATTGATTTATTACTTAATAAACAGAAACAAAAATCTTCATTTATTTGCAATAACATATAAACGCGCATATTAATGCTCTGATTCTAGAATTAAAATGAGTTAAAATGGTACTCATTCTAGAACCACATTTCTCATTTTCATAGTAAGTGATATTCACGGAATGAAAAGTCCAAAACTACATCTTTATGAGAAAAATAATAGTTTTCTACAATAAGTTTAAAATGGCTACTTGTAGCATTAGTTTTTAGAAAGAAACACACTTGATGATGAAAAATAAACTTTGAAGATAAGATATTTTGAATGGTAATACTTTTCTTTATATAGATATTTCAAACACATGTTCAAAGATAAGACCGTCTTCTTACTATCCAATCACATCCTAGTGGATTGATTACATGACGGATATATCTAATAAGCACACAAATTGTTGACAAGTCGTTCCTAACTAACACTGTAATCATCACACTCAATACTTACCTAACAAACACACTGATTGATGTCGTGTTCCTTTCACTTACACATTTACTAGTACACAAAACATTGACATGATATTATAGATTTTTTCACTATAATATATTATATTTGAGTTAAAAATTGAACAATATGTTATTATCAATGTACTACAAGTAGAAATTGTAATACATATGGAAGTTTTCTTAATGTTATACATTTAATGAAAGTAAAATATGACTTCAATATTATATAATATTACAAAAAACATATAGTATTTAATCATGAATTATAAAAAAGTAAATAATCATTAAAAAAAGACATATTTCTTATTTAATTGCTTGTGTTAAAAAATATTAAATTCAAGTTTAAACCAAGCTAAAATTATAATTAATTTTAATATTTGTATATCAATAAAGAATATAATAATATAATTTTAACTCTTAAATTTTAAGTATTTTATGAATTTGATTTTTTTTAATTTATATAATCTTTTGTTTTTATTCATCTGCATAAAATCATGTTATTATTATTTGAAATTAAAAACTGTTATTTGCTTTTTATTATTTGTTATCATTTATAAATTTTAAATAATAATTTACACAACAAGTATTATTAAGTCTAAATTCTGGATTTAACAACTTTGCACTTTTCTAATATTGCAGAAAAAAATAGCAAAAAATATATTCATGATTTTATAAAACATGTTATATATTTAATATATTAATTTCAAATTATAATATATGTTTTTTACCAATAATTGTTTTGACACTTTCTATAGTATGTATATAACAAGAATAAGTTATTTTACATATGAAATGAATATCATCACATGAAGTATTCTACACAAAGGGTATTGCAAATAAAGTAATGTTGAGCATATAAAAATTTAAAGATATATATGGATTTGGTTATTTATTCATCAAATTTTTTTCATAGAAATTAAAAACACTTTGTTATTATTATTTATTGAATGATAATAAAATTAAAATTATTCCATATTCTAAAATTCACAATATGTTAAACTATGCATGTACATTATATATTTATATTTCATTACTAACTTCTTTTGCATCCATGATAATTAATATTTTTGTTTCTATTATTGATGGCAATGTTGCCATAAAACTACAATAAAACTATTGCTGAATACGTTATTTAAAATAAAACTTCTTTTTTTAAAATGTTGAAGTTGATCTACAAGTAGAATTGTTTTAAGAAGTTTACATTTTTAAATTTTGTCTACAAAATTTGATGGCAATTACTAATGAAGTTGTACTTTATAATTAATATAACCAAATTTTAGATTTCTCATGAAAATAATGAAACTTTGATATTAGTCATTGTATATTGTATATCATAACTCATGTAGGCATATTCAAAATTGAAACTTGATTTAAAGATTGAATCAAAATTTTATTCAAAAATCTACAAATATTCAAAACTCGTATGAAGTACTATAATTATAAATATGGATTCAAATTGATGCCTTATGTTAGAAAATGAGAAATGTGGTTCCAAATTGCATTATTTTATTCTAATGAGATAATCTCGTATTACTTAAACTTCATCATCTACATGAGTTAATTTGTTATACAATAACACAATCAATGATATAATTATTTGATGTCAATGAAAAAGAATGTACATGAATAAATTTTCATTTTCAGATCATACATAGTTATGAATGCACAAGTTATATATATGTTTCATTATATTGATAAAAAAATTTATATTAGGTATACAATATTTGAAAATATTTTCCTTCATGTAATCAATTTATATATTACAAAATTCAACAAAATATTATAAGCTTAATCAATGTTTTTCATATTTGAAATAAGTAAACGCATGAATTTTTTACTAGATTCACAATGAAGATCTATTTTAAACCAAATATCATTCTTGATAATACAAGAATAAAAATAAATTATAAACTGCTTGTGATACTCACATCATAATGTAAAACTGAGTTTATGTTTATTTCATATAAAATGAAAATTATTTTTATTGAATTTAATTTTGGCAAGAATTTGCTTTCAAAGTTAGACACTTCTCCCCTCTATGAAAGAAATAAACTTATTCTTCAGTAATATCAGATTGGATTTTACATTAAAATCTGATTTGTTGTATATTTTCACCACCAATATGTATGTTTCTGCGTCATTGATTAATAATGATAATGAAACCCAAACTGTATTAAAATCTTCATTGAAATATTTTTACTGGAAATTTGTATAGCCTGATGTGTAGTTTGTTGGAGATCTAAATTTTACAGTCCAATTTTTTTGTTACACAAATCAGAATTTGGAGATAAAACCCTTTATGTGAAATTTGTTCATCGCCAGACTTGACTTTTGACATCTGACTTAAAAAAGATAACAAGATGCAGTATTTTGTAGACAACATACTCAGCAATAGTGTTAGTATCAAGAATACATACATGACATAGGTGATGTTACAACTTAAAAAATTGTGTTAAATGACATCATATTCTTTCAAAACTAGCATAGCTCAATTCACTATTTTTGCTTACAGAAATAAATTCTGAGTCTGAGTGATATTTAAATTCTGCTGAATTTACCAATTCTCTGGCTCCAACTTTTTCGCACACTAATTGACAATCATTGTCTCATTGTCAAGCGAGAAAGGAGAAATACGGATGATTAAATTGGTGCAGACTTGCCCATCGTCCAAATTCGTTCAGGCACGAGAGATGGCAATGTCCGTATGGCAATGTATGGGCTGAGGCAACTATATCGAGCCGTCATCTGTCACCGACTTGAGTCGGTGACAGTAAGTTAGTCCCGGGCTCTTCTGATCCATACTGATTCGCCCATCTTAATGAGTGTGCATTATTTGACATGGATCAGCGTAAAGATCAAACAGTCCTTCGTTAATGGGACCTGGTTGTCGCCAACACTTATTCCGCTTATGAACCTAGCTACGAACTATACATGCACAAAGTTTTACATAACAGCTACTTGTCTCAACAATATCCGAAACATAAACGCATGAATAAATTTCCTTGTAACGATCTCGAGTTGAAACTCTTCATAAGTACCCTGTATTTTTTCGAACTACATGCTTTGTACAGTAATCGGTCTCTCTATGGTGAACACAAGCAGAGAAGGCGCGTGGCTACGATACCGCAGAGTACGGACACGTGTCGAAACATAATGAATACTGAATGGACATTACTCTTTTTCTTTTCCTTTTCCCCATGTCTCGTAAACCCCGAATTCGTTATCATGGACGAGCCACACGCAGGCAAGCTTGCACGTGTGGTTCTGACGGGGCAAGCACCCTATCGGTATTTTTTGATCATTTCGCTTTTGCTTGGTGTTTTTTCATGTCTACGTGTCCACGATTACGTTCCTTGAATCGAATACGAGAAAGTAGGGTAAAATACTGTGCCTTCTTGCTATCTATTGACCAGAGAGTCTAAGTAGCTTGTTTATGATGAAACCCATGCATTACCATGGGTTTCATGTAGAAGCGGTGGGTCTCGCACGTGATTACATTCAGAAATATGTTGTTCACGAACATCCTGAGCATGTTTTCCAGTTTCGAAGAAGTGCTAATTTCTTTGGAACTTTTGTGATTTCCCAAAAAGTTCATCCATTGCCAAACTGGAATGTGAAGAGACGAGCTTCGGTGATGCTTCCCGAGACGTATGTCCATGTCTTGCTCCTCGGTTCTCGCTGTGTCTTCGGACGGTAGAGAAGAGGAGCACAGCGTGGTCACAGTAGTAGTCACGCAAACGGACTGGGAGAGGACGTGGCAGGTGTACGTGGTTCCGTGGCACGCGGTTCGAGTGAAAAAGGTCGACGCCGTCGACTCAAGCGCGACCACGAGTTCCAGGCGAGGAAAGAAGGAAGGAAGGAAGGAACAAGCCAACGGTCTTGAAGAAGAAGCGGAGGAAGAGGCGAGGGAGGAGAAGGAGGAGGAGAAGGGAAGGGCAGGGAAGGGCCTCGAAGAGATCGAGCGCCCGGCGAAGATCAAAATGCGTTTGAAAAGTACGAGTCCTTGACACAGGGATTGGATTATTTCGGAAGGGAAGTGAAGGAGGAGGAGGAGAGATCGATCGGTGCGGTCGACCAGATGTCGGCGAATGTCGATTCACAAAAGAGAATGATGGACAAAGAAGAGGATTTGAAGCGAATGGAAGCGGCGTCCAAGTGCGCAGCGCAGCAAATTCGGGATATGCTCAGTTCCGAGGACGTGGCCACGCTCACGCATTTGCAGTTGCTCATGTACGTCTGTGAGGTAATTGTTGACCTGATCGGACAGAGATCGGTCAGGTATTTGCCGAGCGTGCGTTTCTGGATGCTGCTGCTGCTGATGAGCATGCTCTATCTAATTATCAGACGAAACTACCCGGTGCCGTTAGAAGCTCAACGCAATCATTTCTAACGACGATCAGTCCATAACCCTAGAATTAGCGATCTCCATCGTACAGAGCCTCATAAAACTTGCCTAGGATCACATTCTCGTGAATTCTTCTAGGGGGATACATTTTTTTTCACTTTCCCTCAATTGATCTAGACTGCTCAATAATTGCAAACCAGCTGATTCAATCGGTTCCTGATCTTCTCGCGGGTGTTTCTCCCTGAATCAGAGTTACAGCCTGATAGCGCTGTGTCAGTAGACGAAGGTTTTTCTTCAGGAAAATTCAGAACTTGAAAAAATCTTACCAGATAAGGAATTCATAGGGAATTAGACGAACGCAAATTATCTCCGAAATCTACTAACTATTCGGACAATGGAATTGTAGAGCTATGTATCACCGAGTTGAAACCCCATCTCTGCTGGGAAAAGCTTACTAAGGTTGCCTTGACATTCAAATGTTCAAGAGAGTTAGGGTTTTTTGGTTATGCTCTGCCAAGACTGAGGTGATTGGGGATATGAAAATTGCACTTTTGGTAGTTTGGACGGAGAAGAACTTTAAGCTGAAGAGTGATTTTCAGGCCCGGTTGGATCGGAGTAGTGAGGAGGATCAAAATCGCTTGATACTGACGTGGGTTTGTTTGGTTGGTGCAACAGCTTGGGAAGACTTCAGGACAGCAATGCTGTTCTTTCGCACTTCAACGATTTTTCAGACCGTAGTTTTGCGGCTGTCGCCAACGACTTCTCGAAAAACACAAGACTGTTCAAAGCAATGAAAGTGGACCTGGACCACATCTTCAGGCGAATTCGGTAAGGGACAGCTGCTTTGCTTTTGACGAGGAATCCACGTTTCGAGCCATGCAAAGTGGTTTCAAGGTCCTAGGATTGCAAAGTGGTGCAAGTTAGGCTCGTCTTCTTCCCAATGGTTTTCATTACACTCGTACTCATATGATGTGACCCGCTCACAAATCTTATCTTGTTTGGGAGTTGGATCAAGTGTCGTACATGAGTACAGAATTTGACTTGATTCTTCCTGTCTGCCTGTCTCGTTGATCCTTGGTTGTTATGATCGTTCATACTAGCGTTCACATCCATGAATCATCTCTGCAGCGATGACTCTCTTCGGCAGAAGGCCGTTGTTGACAAGCGGAATTTTCTTCAATTTTGCAGAGGTCTGAAGAATCGACTTGCTGCACAATATCCAGAAGCTTTCAAAGAGTCGGTGGTGGGTCAAATCGCAGATACAAGACCTGATCTGGAAAACGAAATGGGTTGGAAGAAGTGATCTAGTGCTGCGTTGTCAACGACATGGGCGTCCAACCCCATGACAATGAACGCGTGAAGGTGGCCAATGTCCGACATTGTTGAACTTCATCTTTGTATCATGGATAAATGTAGATATGCAGGCTCAAGCCTTCCCTTAGAAGTCGACAATCGATTCAAAAAACCGTTAATTGTGCAATCAAAAATTCGATTTGGGTCATGTTCAATGTCCAATCTGCAGCAGCTTTGTTTCTGCAAGAAACATTTGAGATTCACTTGCAGAACCTAGTCATGAGCTATGGTGTGTAAGTCATCCAGTGAGAGATTACCATATCCAGGAAGATTTTACCGGTTTCTCCTCCACCGTACACACTCTTTAAACAATGAGATCTGACAAAGATCAAAAGTTAGCGCTACATTTTCTGGCCACTCAGGAGGAGTAAGAAGGCATATGATCTCGTCGATGCCAGCCATGGCTAGTTACGGTTTACCATTCGATCCCCTTTGGCCTTGTAGGGCCAGTGTGGAGTCAGCAGGTCCCAGTCATAATAAAGTTTTATTGAGTCGATGTTTGTCTTCACTCTCGAGACGCTATACCATTGTTCACCAACACAGATGATCAACGGAAGTCAAATCTGTTGTGGAAAGAGCAGCTTTTGCGCGGAGCCTGATCAAGAATGCGCTGGATACTCTGAACGATAAGCCTGATGATCAGTGTAGTGCGGAGGGGCATATATGTAACAAGAAGTTGCACACCATTTTATAGAGAGTGGAGGATAGACGCCGGTCAAAGTGAATTCAATCGTCAGTCAGCTCATCATGTTGAAACTGTGGGCGAAGGAACTGAATCGTCAGTCACTAGCAGGAGCTTCATTGCCTCGAGCACACTTGCAGAGGAGTGAGTCCAAGAGCTAATGCGGTCTTTCTGTCTGTCTCTTTCGTCCACTTCGCCATTCTTCAACATCAAAATCGAGTATGGTGGTCAGACAGCGGACCAACAAACCCGAAGCCAAATGAACTCATTTCTTCCCTTTCCTGATGAGGCGGGCCGAGTTCCCGCGCTTTTCTTTCTTAATATGACACCGAAGGAGGTGGCTCGGGGAGAGTGAGAACGAAGCTCGCCCAGAGCTGTCTGATAATCTGCCGGGGTCCGAAGAAGAAAAGGACGACGAAGAGATTCAGCGAGTTCATCCGACGGACTCGGCTCGACAGTCGTTGTGAACATCGGGGCACCTTGGAAATTTGGCCGAGGCGGACGGCATGCATGGGGTTTTCACTTCTTCATAAGGCGGGATCGTCGATCATGGCGGTCGGAGGAGGTGTGGAGAAGCGCGGCGCTTTGATCGTCCTCGAAGGCCTCGACAGAAGCGGCAAGAGCTCGCAGTGTCGCGCGTTGGCCTCCTTCCTCCGAGGTCGAGGTCAGGCCGTGGAGGAATGGAGGTTTCCGGATCGGACGACGGCAATCGGCCAGATGATCTCATCCTACCTCTCGGAGACTTCGGAATTGGATGATGCGGCGATCCACCTTCTGTTCTCAGCCAACCGCTGGGAGAAAAAGTGATGCCTCGTTTCAATTCTGCTCCCCTCCATTCGTTCGAGTCCTCGTTTCCTCGTGTGATTCTTCTTGAAGCTCATCGGAGTCTCTAACGCTCCTTCCGTCGTCTGCAGGAATCTGATGGAGTCCACCTTGAGGGCAGGAACGTCGCTGGTCGTGGATCGCTACTCCTACTCCGGTGTCGCCTTCTCTGCAGCCAAAGGACTTGACTTCCAGTGGTGTAAAGTATGGCCCCCACCCCGCATTTGGATGGATGATGGTGCATTTTTCGGAAGCTTTAGAACTGTCCTCTTGATCCGAATCTAGGTTTGGGTGCTCACACTGGGTTTCTCCTACAGACTCCTGAGAAGGGACTACCGGCAGCGGACCTGGTTCTCTACCTCGACATTCAACCTGAGGTACTGGTGTGCTTCCCTGGCGTCCAATTCTCGCTGCCGTCGATGAGTCATTTGTTGAGAATGGAACCTTGGCTTACTCGAAATCCGATGGATGTCAGGTGGCTGCCAGGAGAGGAGAATATGGAGTCGAGCGATATGAGAAGGTGGAATTCCAGACGAGAGTCGCATCACATTACCAGGCCATGCGAGATTCGACCTGGCAGGTGGATTTCTGTCATACAATCATGTCCAAGTTGCGAACTCTTGCCAAATCGCAGTAGATGTCGAGATGGAATTATACGATGTCTCACACACACACGCTCTCTTTTCGTGTGCAGATCGTGGATGCGGACCAGACCGTGGACGAAGTGCAGCAAGTTTTGAGAGAAGCGGCGCAAAATGTCATCGACACTTGCAAATCGGGGAGAGAATTGTTGCGGTTGTGGCCCACTCCACCGAAGGCGGTCGTGAGCTAGGCAGCAGTTGGGAGGAATTGATTTCACTGGCTCGGCCCCCAGCCCTGACTGACATCCCTCGAGGATCTTATCTGCCTTTGTCAGCGAGGTAGGTCTGACTCATCGCACTGCTCAGAAGCAACAATCCATCTTTCCAAATGTTCGACAGTCTCATAGAATATAGGCATGTGGGGATCACGGAGAAGTAAATACAAGTGAGAGCGCAAGGCTTCCCAAGTCCTGGAACTTTTCCTAGTCATTTCACGCACAGGGTATTAGAGAGTTTTGCTAGGATACACGCATTTCACAGCATTTCAAGCGTACTGAATCTTCTGGCAAAGGAAGCATAGCTCTACTTGCCAAGCCATTGGTCTTTACGACGTAGTTCTGGAAACTAGCACGCCACGACACCGGCATGAGAAAGGTTCCGAGATCTTGAATTCGTAAATTCAGACGTACCTGTTAGAAGCCTAGAGTTCGATGGCTTGCGAAGGAAATCTCTTCCCTTTAATAAAAAGCAGGAATTTGTTTCATATGTAAAAGCCATTTGACTTCCAGGAAATGTCAAATAAAAATGTGACTGGTACGATGAATGTTGCGCCGTTATGTCCGGCTATGTTTCTAGAATTGGAACTCTGATTGGACGCAGAACACATAAGAGAGTCCTCTTTCCAATAAGATCATCAGCCTTTAGGCATGAAAGAGAACAGGCATACCCGTCTTTGCTCTCACAAGAGACTGTTGGGGTAAATGAAATAGCCCCCACATTTACGTTAAATTGCTTCCTACATTTCAGTGAGAATGAGCTATAAGTGGGAGAATATGGTGGCGCTGGACCATTTGAGATTCGATTCAGAAATGAAATAAAGCTAGCTGCGTTGTATGAGAGCAGTTGTAACTTGTTTCATAAAATTGTGCAGCATGGAGGAACGACAACATTTGCTGGAACTTATTCGCATGTCTATGATTCCCTTCCATCGTCGACTCGCAGTTGATACACCTACTGTTCGTAACACCTCTCGAGCTTGTCGACGCCTTGCTCCCAATACTTGTAACTTGTAACTGCCACGGCCACGAACCTTAACATCTTAACCTCTTGTACTTATCGAGGGATCTGCAGGAAAAAAAGTGCAACCTATCAAAGCTTGCGGAGTGCTTACATGCGCGAAAGAGCGGAACTTCACATTCACATCGCAATCATCAGGTTATCTTGGGCAGTGAGATGTGGTCTGACATGAAACATGCATGTCTTCAGGCATCTTTAAAGCGACGTAACTCATATCACTTCGTCAAGACCAACTGTTCACTCTTATCAGAAACGTATGAGATAGCGTTTTTGAGACTGAGGCAGGGCTGACTTCATGCAATCGAACATAAGAAAGGAGTACGCATTCTTATATATCCTTTGAGTGACAGGTGGCAACGTTCATAATACGGCTCCAGCGGTCAAAGTACGGTAAGGATAATGAATTCGTTCGAGAAAAAAAGGAGAATTGATTCGCTAGAGACAAGCTGTGATTTGGATACAGCTGCGAGATTTGCTCCATGACCACAAGCTCTTCCTCCAGCCCTTCTTCTGGATGCATTCATATCGAGGACCGATGCTCAGTTTTATATTTTAAACTGGTCCTTCATAAACAACTAATGGGTGGAGTCCTTCACACCTGACAACAACATAAACTGAAAACCCCTAACCAGAACTGCAGGCGGCGGAGCAGCAGATCCGGCAGCGTTTTCCCTGCGAAAACCGTAAGTTCAAGCTTCCATATCCAGCGCCCGCCGCAAGTGTCTTTTATTTCCGTAAAAATGTGAAGTTTCCGAGACTGTTCACTACAGGCAAGTTGACTTCAAATAGATCCTTTTGTTTTGCGGATACTAGCCTCTTCTATAGCTCTTGTTTCTCGAATGAGTTACTTCAGCTCATTTCCAAGCAACTTCATTGACCTCGAATGACGAAATGCTGATCCGCGATGCAGGCATGCACCCCATAGCAGGGTCCACAATTTGGGTCCACTCACTCGTATTCAAACTTGCCGGGCAGGAAGGTAAAAATGGTGGCATCGAAAATTGCAAGCCATTTCTGGACGAATGAGTGACAAAATCCATCAGACATCCTTGGTTTTCCACTGATTCAATTTCTCGAGCAAACTTGCGGCATACTGTTGCGCTTCCTTATCGAGGGAAGAAGTGGCCAGGTTTGCAAGCAGGGGTTGCACACCTGTTGCATCCAATGCCTCTACAGCAGCATCTGCAGAAAGGAAACATGACCAAACTGTTTACTTCAGGTTACCTGATCCAAAATTCTGAACTCAACCGTATTTGGTGCCTGTATCATCAAGCTGAACTTTCACGTATTGCACTCAGAGCTGACAGGAGTAAACAAAATTCTCTCAAACCTTCATCCGTATTCTGAAAGCATGCGCACATGCACTTGCTCTAAACCGATTTCCTTCTGCTCTTGTGACTTGGGTATGGAATAATGATTGACTGTTCGTACCTATTTGCGATATTGTATCTAGAGCTTTGACAGCTTCTCGACGAGTGTCATCATCAGAAGCTGATTCCAACATATTCGCCAAACCCGTTACTCCTCCAGCATTTACTATCCTCAATCTCCGCCCATCTGCAGTTCGGGAGTATAACAAAACACGCTTCAGCTTCAACACGAGACCTCTGTGACTAATGGCAAACCTTTGGGCGAACCTCCTCTCTGTCAGTACGAGAGATAGCCTTCTGTCCAAGTGCACACGATCACTGATCGTGCGCTCCAGCGATCGCCTCGACTAGGTTGTTAAAAGGTGCTCGGAGACAGACCTTAAAAGGACGATTCTCAAAAGGTGCAAGGTTGAGTTTGCCTGAACAGCCCTTATTGCCATCGTCCACAACTAAGTTACTTCAAATCAGATCCATCACGATACAGGAGATGCCGTGAGCTTATAACTCAAATCTCCTAAACAAAAGTCACGAACTTCATTAAAAACAAACGCAGCATCAAGGGCATCTTACAAATCATATTTCTTGGTACGGCCGATGCATATGCATACAAACTAGCATCACAAAGCACTAAAGCTGTTGGTGTCAAGATCTTACCGTCAGTGGCAATCAAGGTCAACCTGGAAGCACCACTCCTCTTGAAATAAGGATCTTGTGTGCGTAAAAGTGCAACAGAGTGCTTCACCATGCTATCTCCTGAACAACATCAAAGTCCACATGTGAGGTAGTAGCTCTAGACCTACAACCTCTTCTACTGTATAAACGAACCCTGCTGATATGCAGGCTGATCAGTCCTTGCACTCATGCTGAACATAAGTAGCGGAAAATTACCCATGAGAGGGAACACATTGAGGCCAACGTAAGTTAAAGTTACGGCTGCTATTCCCTTGAGCATCCATCCGGCTTTGATCTCCGTTTCCTGCTCCAACGATTCAACACCTGCAACCAGATATACAAGAGAAGATTTTCCTCTCAGTATGGAAAACCAAGAGTGGTGTCACTCAATTCTTTTCTCCTTTCCTGATTTATCCAAGGCACATATCTTTCACACTAACACATAAGACAGTCCATTCTCTGGACTGATGTACAAGTAATGAAATGATTGCCGCTAAATCCTACACAGCTTTGCTGAGGCTCAAGATGCCCATAAAAGTGAATGTACTTTTCTCGTCACTCAAGTGTTAACCTGATCGTAGTGTCACGCTCGTCATAGGGCAAGGATAACAGCGAATCAATTTGGCTAGCCGTTTCACATGCTCAACCCTGCTAATTTCCGATTATCTGATTTCTCCTAACGTTAATGTCACCTCCCAATTATGCTCCGGCAATATTTAGATGTAATAGAAAGAAAGTATCTCAGCGTGGAGTAAGAAGGTATGAATCTCGTAACATGTCGATTTAGGGGTTTGAGAAGCTATTTCATGCTTCAGAGGGATAGCGTCATTTACCGTGGGAATCAAATGTCCTCGAGAAAGACCTCCGCTGCAAGACACTCCTTGCACTGCTATCCTGGAACACAACGTGGCCGTCACTCTTGAGTTAAAAAAAACACAAATTCACTGATAGAAGTGCTGGACACGACGGAGAGCCCACGATGAACACTAGCATTTGCAAGAGCAGACGACAAGTGAAACCCGGTGGTCACATGAATTCCAGATGTAAATCAAGAGAAACCCTACAAAGAGTGCGAGACGAATGTCGAGACGATGGTCTGAGTTCCAGTACTCACAATAAAAGAAGAAGAGGCAGACGGATATCGAATTGCTGAAATGCGCCCGATTGTCCGGATGAGCGGCAAAGGGATCCTCCCCATGATCACTCACGGTGACAGTGCTCAAACTCCGTGCCGTTTGACCCCGGGCATCTCTCCTCGGTGCACGACACCTTCCGCGACTCCTGAATTTTGAAATCTGAGTTCCTCTGCTACCTGCGTTCGACAGCCGTGCACGTCGCTGTCGCAGCAACAGCAGCAGCAGAGGCAACTTTTGAAATGCGAGAAACTCCTAAAATTCCTCGAGAACTCCAAAGATTTCGATGGTGTGCTTCAGCTCGATCGATCGATCCATCGCCACCTGCGCTCGATTGCCGAAAGCGCCGTCGGGAGAGCATCGCAGCGCCTGACGGGCCCCTGCCCCATACAAATCGAACGTCTTTTGCGCCGCGCTTAGCGACCGGCAAGCGACCGGAAATTACCCTTTCGTAATAAGCGGCTCACGTGACAGCTCAAGACAAATGCTTCTAATTGTGGACATGGCTCCTCGTACGCAGCGTCCGTCCGTCTTGACCGCAGTGACCACGTGCATTTTCCAGGATTCGGTCCGAATAATCTCGGATGCCTGTGTTAGTTCTGTTAGTCCTCTAACTCTCCACTAGGGAGGTACCGCATTCTGAATACTGTACTGTTAGGTTTCGTATTGGACTTTTTATCGTATACTTGGCCCCCTTCGTCTTTTCTGTATTTAAAGAGTTTGGCAGGGGATTTCTTTCAAACATCTTCTATATTTGATGCATTTTTGCTGATGCTGATATGTTTTTCGTAATCTCATATATTCCATCGACTGATTGTTGAGAACCTCCTTTCTTGCAGGAAAAATTCAGCATGAGAAAAAAAATTGGCGAAAGATGTACAAGTATGAATATATATATATAAAAAAAGTTAAAGAAAGAAATGAAATAACTATCAATATAGCCAATACGATAATAATTACTCGTCTATTCATATAACCAACCCTGTTGCAGACGGCAAGTTTCCAGTAGTATTACAATGAAAAATGTACATGATTATATTTTAGATAACGAAGTGACGTAGATTGAAATATTAAAAATTAAAAAATGAGAAAATTTTCTTTTTCAAATAAGAAGTTTATACCTTTCACCTGGCTCATTAAGTAGAAATAGGGTTATTTGAAAAATCATTGAAACAACTTTTACAATTCACACATGCATCAATATTATATTAGTTGATTATGTTTGAAGATATTCTAGATCTTAGACTTAACAGTGTATTGATTTCTTGGTGTAAGTTCTTAATATACTATTACATCTTTGATAAAATATATCATTTAGGGAGGGGATAATTATCATTCACTTATTAATTAGCTAATTAGCCCTACTAACTACACTATACCCTTCTAGGGCTTATTGGTCAAACACTCTATAGTTGCTATTTTATCCGTGCACAGTAGGATGAGGGCTAATTAACCCTAAGTGAATGATAACTAGCCGTTCCATCATTTAAACATGTAAATGTATGATAATACAACCTTGTATGAATGAGTAGATGATTTGAATACATAAAAACTGAAATTGAAAATGATTGAAACTTAGTTATGAAGTGATTTATTTAAAACCCTAGCAAGCAATGTTTATGAATCTACATAGGTTTAGAAATTAAATACGCATGTCATATCATCACCAAATATAACGTTGCAATATATCATACATGCTATACCCATTCAATAATATTGAAATTTTTATAAACATATATTTATTTCACATATGACTTAGTTTTTCCATCTTGAGTGTTTGAATATGAGATATTTACTTGATGGTACCCCATCAAATTGTAAATTGCTTGATGGTACCGATCAAGTTTCAATTTACCCGATAGTATCCCACAGAACAATTCCACATCACCGTCAAATCAGCTCCTTAAGAACGCACCTTTGGTTCAAGGATGAATTTGTCCAAATTTGTGCTATAGATCTGCTGGAGCAAAAATTTGATGGTTTCACGAAAGAACTCACGATTACTGGAGGTGTAAGGTGTAAGGTGTACTTCTAGTGGCATTGCATTTTCTCTCAGATTACTATTTCCATATCCAAAAGTGACTTCTTCGCCGTAATGTGCTTGTGCAGATTGTTTTTGGAACGCGAGTGCAACCCTTAATGTCCAAAAGGATTGATAAATTCGGTTGAGTCGGAAAATCTTGCGGGCGAAAGCATGTCCAGTTTTGTTAAATCTCCAATGGCACGCGGTCGATTTCATCGCAGAAACACAAATTAGAACATATTCGTAAAAGAACACATATTAGAATTCATTTGTACAAGAACATATCCATACTAGAATACGTATAAGAACTCACTTATTTGAGCAATTACTGGGTTCCATCGGATAAATTGAAATTTGATGGATCTCATCAATCAATATAGCTTCTTTGAAAATGTATCAAATTCTGATAGATGACTTACAACTTCATGGAGTGCTAGTAGGCTTCAAATGATTATGATAGCGAAGTATAGGAGTATACATGAAATACTCATACATCAATATCTAGCTTTGGTTATATGAAGCTATTACGCCAACTTCAATACTTACCTGAAAGAAATACACAAAAAATGGTTATACTATGTGACATAATTTACTTTACTTTAAAAAAAATTCAATATTTTTTTGGTTGTTGTACATTTCCATTCTCACACATAAAGCACTAAATGAAGCAAACTATTGTGACTGCATCATGTTAGATATTGCTGTTTTGGATCGTTTTGTATGTAGACCAGTAGACCTAGCTGATTCTGATATGTTTGGTAAATTGGTGCATGTTTCATATTGTGATGGTATTGGAGTACTCTAAGACCGTAGTTTTAGCTGGAACACTCGCTACTCATTATTTGTATATATTTTGACTTAAATGCAGAAACCAGGACGAATGAACCACTGTCTGATAAAAATATCTTTTGGTAATGCACTTATGTTATCAATCACAACCATTATTAAAAACCATGTCAATTTCAACGAGGTTTTACGTCTGCTGGTTTATTTGATTGAGTTAGTGGGAAGAAACCAGTTGCTGAGGATAGAACCTTCAACCATCGTCGAGAGTCTCCGTGCACCTGCAAGTCAAGGACGAGAAAAGTGTAGCTTCATGTCATTCCATGCGCAATGATGGCTGGACTTGAAACTTGAACTGTGTAAGTGATATAAATCAGAAGGGTATTCAGTTCGTAATTGTGTCGGAAAAGGATAATTTGCTAGATACCAGATTGTCAAGCCAGCGGCTCGCACCCCACGACGGACAGCGTTCTGCAAACCGAATTTGCGGGCGAGTGCAACTCTCGCTCGAGGACGTTGGACGAGGTTCTGCTCGAAGAACTGACGGTCCGAGGCGAAACTGCAGAGAAGTCCGTTGACGATATTCGGACGCCAGCTTCGGGGACCAGGACAGGACAGGACGATGACGAGCACCAAGTTCCGGAACGGCGGAAAGGGCCCGTGAAAGAGAGAGAGTTTCCGAAGAAAGGAAGGAAGAGAAGAGCGGGCGGGGTCCAACGACCGGCGCGGAAGAGTGTATATAGTTGGACCACGCAGTGGCAGGTGTCACGATGATGCTGGCTTCTAGTTGTAGCTTGCAGTGGCCATCGTCACTGGACCCCGCGAAGGTGGTCGTGATCGGCGAACAAGCGCGAGATAACCTGGCATTCCCGAGAGGAATCGTGGCGAGGCGCCTGCTGTCTGCGCTGTGGCCTTCTCTGCCTTGCTCTCGGTCTCCTGTGGCTGGCTGGGGAATTCGACGCCAGCCGCTGACAGTCATGGCTAGCAGTGTTGTCGATGACGGCGGTGGCTTATCAGCCGATAGTGTTCCGAAGGCTCATGCTCCTCAGGTACTGCTCGCGTTGATGGGATCAGACCGTGGAATTTCTTGTCTGGTTCTTGGACTGTTGAAGGTTCGGCAATTTGATTGTTGGCCGGTCAACGATTGCCCACTCGATGACAGTAGCAATGCCCCACCCCAGCACACGAGGATTTGAACAAGGCCTGAGATTTGTTTTTTGGGTTGACAAGATCGTAGATTCGTTCAATTCAAGCTCCCTGAATGCCATATAAGTGATTGGAATCGAGAGCAGTAGAAACGAGAAGGGGTGGAAAATTGATCGTGTTAGACGGATGCTCGGATTTTTTTTTTTAAGGAGTGCCAGCTCTGAGAAACTTAGATTCATGGACAAGTTTGAATATCTGCAAAGCTGATTACGTTGATGGATTCTGCTACTTATTAGTCCTCGGTGCCTGTTTCCATAAAATGCAAACCATCCAGAATCTTCACTACCACTTCCACTTGAATCAGGTGCGTGCTGTCCTTCATCCTTCTTGGCATGCATTGTCTTCCGTGGGACTTTGTCCAAGGCCATGATAATTGTTTGTCGACTGGTTGGAGCAGATTTCGAGGCGGCTTGCGAATTTGAAGCCTACCGTGTTTACGAAGTTCAGCGTCTTGGCATTGGAGCATAATGCCATAAATTTAGGTCAGGGATTCCCCAACTTCGACGGTCCAGAGTATATAAAAGAAGCAGCAATCGAAGCCATCAATACCGTCGGTAAGAATCAATATGCTCGGGGTCACGGCATTCCTGCTCTGAATGCCGCGATTGCCGAAAGGTTCAACAAAGAAACTGGACTCACGGTGGATCCTGAAGCAGAGGTCACGGTCACTTCGGGCTGCTCGGAAGCTATCGCGGCCACTATGATCGGTTTGATAAACTCCGGGGATGAAGTAATTCTGTTCTCTCCCTTTTATGATTCCTATGAAGCAACTTTGGCCATGGTCGATGCGAAGATCAAGTCAGTCACTTTGCGACCGCCAGACTTCGCCGTTCCTGTGGAGGAGTTGAAATCCGCGTTTTCTTCCAACACTCGGGCCATCCTTGTCAACACACCGCACAACCCTACTGGCAAGATTTTTTCGCGCACTGAGCTCGAGCTCATTGCCTCTCTCTGCAAAGAGCATGATGCACTGGCCATCTCGGACGAGGTGTACGACAAGCTGGTCCGTCTCTGCTCCTCAATGATCATCATCTCCATCTTCCTTCTTCACTACAGTGTTTGGAACAATTCTTCTGAATTGGATGGATGTCTTAACCCTTTTTCTCGAGATGTAAGCTCCTCTAGATTGTGCAGTCGCCGGATTCAGGACTAAGCTTGATTCGTCTGTCGTGCGAGCTGGTTTGTTGTCATTTTGATGCCTTGTTCTTTGCATGCCAGGTTTTTGAAGGAGAACATATTTCTATCGCGTCATTGGAGGGAATGTTCGAGAGAACCATCACTCTGAACTCCTTGGGAAAAACCTTCTCCTTAACTGGCTGGAAGATCGGCTGGGCGATTGCACCTCCTCATCTTACATGGGGAATTCGTCAGGCCCACTCGTACATAACTTTCGCTGTGGCCACACCGTTGCAGTGGGCGACCGTGGCAGCACTGAAATCACCAGATTCGTACTACGAGGAACTTGTTGAGGAATACAGTGCCAGGAAAGAGATTCTTATAGAAGGTCTGAAGGATGTGGGTTTCGAGGTCTACGAGCCCAAGGGAACTTACTTCGTGATGGCGGATCATACTCCGTTTGGATTCAAAGATGACACAGAGTTTTGTGAGTACCTGGTCAAGGAAGTCGGTGTCGCAGCTATACCTCCTAGTTGTTTTTACTCCAATCCTGACGATGGGAAACATTTGGTGCGATTTGCTTTCTGCAAGGATGTAGAAACAATAAAGGAGGCTATGGGTCGGCTGAAAGCGAAGCTCAAAAGGCCCGCGTTGATATCTTCGTAGCCAGATGGTAGCACTCAATTGATTTGTTCACTGTTAACGATTCGTAATAAGATGTAAAGTCTAACAATTCATGCGTCTGCTTCGTGGAATAATGTACGTGCCAGACACCTACTCTTTCAGATTTCCGGAGAGAATAGGATCGGTACCTAGTGTTGTTTGTTCGCCAGTCCCAGGCTCCGTGTACAAATTACACATTTAATAACTTCAAAGGTACTTCGTTGAACTAGCAAAAATGGAGGCTGGCAAGGAAAACTGAACACGCGGTGGAACTGAATTGGACGAACCCATCCTGAATACAGCATGTGCGAAGCTATGGGATTGAACTTCACACTGCAATGAAGGACGGCAGCTCTTGTGTCTGATTCCTGGGTAGAGACTTAGAAGAGAATATCACTTTAGAGACAGAATGGACACTCTGGTAGACACATGTTTCAGTACTTGGAAAGTTCACCAACAAGCCCATATATCAGCATCTGGGATCCGCCCTTTCTGCTTAGACCAAAGATTTACAAACCCACCCAGCAGCGAATGACTAGCCTTGTCTCTGCTAAACTCCGAAAATTTATACGAATAGTTTATTATTAGTTCAAATATCTGCCATAGAGTTTCCTCTCAGGTATCTACAGTAAGAAAGTGGAGCGGGGAATTGCATCTACAGGAAACCAGAAGAAGTTCTGGATGACATGAGCTCCTGAATATTTGAAAGGCTAATTGAAAGGCCGTTCAGCTTCGAGGAGCAAACTCAAATTCACCCCTTGGAATTAGAGTGTATCCGCCCTAAAACCCACAATTTGAAGGTACACATATGATCGCAGGTCTTAGCAAACGACAGGAATGCGAATAACCAACGAAAGAACTGTCTGAGTTTGATACCGCCAACTCAACTAATAGGCAGGGATTTTGGAAAACGAGTATCCATTGAAGCCCCGCCAGGAGTAGTAGGCGATCCTGGTCTCATAAAAACCTGCACAACAGTCCAGCTCTTACGGGGCGTGAAGTGAGTCCATATCACTGAAGCCACAACGAGAATTCTTGAGGCACTTCAGGAGAACGAGATGTGATCATGTCGAAGAACGAGTGAGCACAATTCCCAATTTCACCAACAGCTAAGCACTGACAGAAGAGTTCGAACTGTGGCTCAGACTGAAAGAGAGAATTCCGAACGATCAGAATTCCCTCCCCGGCCGGAGAGAGAACAACAAACGACACGCTCTGCAATTGACAAACGCAAAACGTGCAGGTCGAACAGAGCGAAAACAAACTTGCGGATTCGGTCGTCGTACTGTACCTGGCAGAAACACGAGAACTCCCAGAAAGAGGAACCCGTACGCTTGCGAAGAATCGCCGGGCATGTGGCCCGAGAAGAGGAAGTGCGAAATCGATAGGAAGAAAGATCCGAGCGCGAGCAGGAAGATCGCCAGCGCGATCGACTTGAACGGCACTTCGTCCGGAATCACATAATTGAACCTCAAATCCTCCTTCTCCTCGGCCTCGTCGCCGCGCCCGCGCCCCATTCGCGCCCCATCCTCGTCCGCGCCCGCTTCTTCCCGCGATGGCACAGCCGCGTACCGCACATGCGCTCGACTTCGTTCCGTCATCCCTCTGCTCTCCTCTGCTCTCCTCGTCTCGTCCCCTCCTCTGCCCAAGAATGTAACGCTCAGTAATGTCTCAGTAACGCCACCCACCACGCAAGCCTTAACTGCATCGACTTCGAGCACGTCCCGGAACGCAGTACACTCTGCACCGTATGCATAAGCATCGTATATACCGTCGTCCGCCACACGAGATGCCGGAGGACCACCAGGGACGGGCTCATTACATATATAGGGCTCAAGTATATCCGAGTTCCTTTGCTCCTGCCGCTTGGCTCTCTGTTCTGTTTATTTTCGAACCCTTTAATTTTTGCGCTTCGGGTGCTGAGCAAGAGTTGTGCAGCGATTCGAAGAGATTTTAGCTCTGCTCTTGGGCACAGATCACGAAGGAATTTCCCCATACACACGTGCGGTTTTTTGGCTGATTTCCGGCGATCATTCCATGAGATCGAGAGAGATTCTTATGTACAGCCTCCGTTCACGTATATTTTGTAGTTCTCTCCCCTTTTTTAGTGTTTCGACTAATTGATTGGTTTAAGCCGAAATATTCGATACGGTAGATCGACATTATGGAAGACAATTCATTTTCATTAAAATATTTCTTGATGTTTGATAGAGTTTCATTATAATCTATGTTTAGGCTTTCGTAAACGAATTTTTGATTGGTTTCTTTCGTAAAAAATTATGGATACTATGGAAGATCGTTCATATCAACATGTATATTTCTTTTAGTCTTATAGAGTTTATTTATCATATATGTTTCAGGATTTTGTAAACGAAATTTCGAATGGTTCATTTCGAAAGTATTTTATGGGTACGGTAGATCGATATCATGGACGAGGTTTCATTCCGCTATCTATATTTCTTTACTATTTTGTAGATTTTACTAATATTTTATCTAAGTTTTCGAATATCGAACATTAATTTGTGATTGGTGTATTTCAAAAACAGTTTACGGATACGGTAGATCAATATTTCGGAAGATACTCTATTCCGCTATGTACATACACTCGCTCATTTCGAAAGTTTATTTCTAATCGAAGATTTCGGCCGATCAGAAATAAACTGTTAATGGGTATGACCTTTTTTCATTCAAAAGACAGATCGAATATCAGGTCACGGTAGCACCAGAAGTTCCAATGGGAGGGTGTCATCGAGGTGGGCCCCACGAAGGAAGCGGATGTTCACACGGGGCCGAGCGAGAAGTTTGGGGGAAGCGAGAACTTTCCACTTGTAATCTCGAGGGGGGAGGAGGAGGGGAGCGAATGGGAGCATCGAGGGGAGCGATGAGGACGATGAGGACGAGGATGGCGAAGAGTTGGGGGCTCGGGGCGGGAGTGCAGCTTTTCTCGTCGTCGTCGTCATCGTCATCGGCCGCGGGAGGGCGGGGCAAAAGCGCGATGAGCGCGCTCGCAGCGTCGTCGGCCTGAGAGTACCAACGGGGGCCGTGGGGCAGCGCCGCGTCTGGCGGTGCGCGGGGCACTGAAAGGTTGGAAGGACGATGTAGACGGCGGCCAGAAGCGTTGTGTCGAGACGCAGCGGCGAATGGCGAGGGATTGAGGCGCTGGGAGGGCATTCGGAGGGCATTCGGAGGCGGGGCTGCGGGATTTCGGGATCGAGGCGAGCGATGGAGCCGATGCGGGCGGTGCTCGCGGCCAAGTTTTGGAACGAGGAGGTGGAATCGACGAGTTCTCTGCATGCGGTCGTGCATTCGGTGCCTTGCGAACCGCCCCCTCTCGGCCTCGTGCGCGGGAGCAGGTTGTCGCGGTCGCAACAGCTGCTTCTCATCCAGCGAGTCTTCGGGGTGCCTTTCACCCCGTCCATCGAGCCCCCCAATGCCTGGAACAAAAAATGTGGCGGTATCGTTCTGGACCGCGTCATTGCCAGTGCGGGCGGGCCGAATTGGTGCGTCCCCTTCTTTCCTCTGTTCCCCCTTTCCCTCCCCCTCCCCCCCACGCCCGCAACCCCTCTGCTCTCGTGGTGACTGTGTGCGGATTTGACTTCTCTTTCTCGAAGGAGCTTTGGTTGCCCGGCAGTTTTTTCTCGTTTCGACCAAGAAGGGAGTCGGAGGATGGCAGAAGTGCCGTGAGAAATCTACGAATGATCGATGATTGAGATTCTCGAGAATGTAGATTTGTGAAATTTGAGTCGAGATTTTCATTTATTTCAAACCTGTCCCTATTCTAAATGTTAGGGTTTCAACGCTGGTTGCTGTCAAACATTTTCACTGATTCATGCTCAGAGGAGTAGGTGGAAACCGTAGCTAGGATGTAACTAGCAATTCCCCATCGGAACTCTGAAATCTTACGAATTTCCAGTGGAACAATTTTTCGAACCCCACAGTATTCGCAAGTCCTTGTCCGCACTTTGTGGTCGGACAGTGAAGGAGCACAATTTTCTGACGAGTTATGGTTGTATCTGACCGAGGTGTCAAAAGTAAGATCACGAAATTTATCAATCTTGCCTTCTTCGAACAAATAGGTGGGCTACAGTGACAGGGCGTGCCAGAGCGCAACGATTCTGGTGGCTGGAGAAACAACGCGGAGAAAACATAAACCAGACACCCGAGCCTTTGTCCCCTCAAGAAGAGGAGAAATGGTGGCATCGAGGAAAGCGTCTCTTGGACTCGTCCTTGTATGCTCTTTCCACACGTTCACGTTTCAGGCTCAGCCCTCGCACCACCTTGAGTATGAGCTCGGAGCTCGACTCTATGACGGGATTATTTCCAGAAACTGAACAACCACCAGGTCGGGGACCCAAGCAAAACCCATGGCGGGGCCGTGCTAGTCTTCGCCACAAGGTGACCCATGAATCTGATTAAGATTGTGGTAGCCCATCCTTTGCTGGTTGCTTCTACTGTGTTAAATAAACTGCTAGGATGGAGTGTCTTTGCAACTTAGCCTGGAAATGTAGTGCTCTGGTTCGATGTGTTTCCCTCTTTCTTTGATGTTAAAATTTTTATTTTGAGAAATTTGCCTATATTTACCGCAAACTTCACGGACTAGACCAATATTCGTCTCTGCACATGGTTTGCAGCGTGAACGACATGACTGGATTCTGGAATCGGCCTGGCATGAGCACTTCGTGGATAGAGAAGCACGATACTGGGAGGTACCCCAAGTCACAACTCTGGATTTAGCCTCTGTAGGATCCACGTCGGGCCTTCGTTATAGACTGGGATTGCACCATAGTGCAGGGGCTCCAGTTGAGTGTCCCAAGATAGATGGGAGTGTTTTAGGAGGAGTCCCAGTCGGGGCAACGCCTGGACTTCGAGCCCAGGCTGCCATATCAATGGAGAAAGAAATGCATGTGTGGAGGCCGAAAACAATGTGCAGGAGACGCCAGAACAGAAGACCATATAATTTACTGGCTGCTCGCCCGCATGTTACTTTTTCAGGACTTGCTGGTGAGCATCAGGTGCCAACCTTGTGATTGCGAAGCAGAATATGTTTGGTCATTTATGCTTTTATGTACAAATTCTTGATACAAGAGCAGGATTTTCCTGTACGGTATATCTCATCACTAACACGCCATTCCGACGCAATAGATAATGAAGTCTCATCAGGAGAAATTGGATCGAGCTTACTGTGTCCTATCCACGATCAATGGCCAATTTTCCATCATAAACAACACTACCTATTGAAGCACCCGGGGATATTTTGGTCTACTGTGTGGCCTGAACACTATGGTTTTCAATATCTTTGTCTTCCTAGTTTCTTGTCCTGTTTGAGCCAAGCCAACTAGCGCAGGCAAAGTCCGTGTTAAGCTTCTGCAGAAACGGCTGGGCAGATCTGAAGTTGAGTCATTTGTTTCAATTGCAGGTGGTTTAGTCTGTGCAAATTTGAAGAAGGGTCCCGAGGAGGTGACCTCACCCCCTGGTACACCTCGAAGCCCTCGACCTGCGACTTTGTCCCTCGGCCAGAACGCTGGTCCTTTGACGGCTGATATGTTCGTCTCACTAGGAATCTCGGCACAATATGGTCTATTTCAAAGGCCCTTTCTGGATCATACAAAATTCAGTGCTCGGCTGGACATTGGGGCAGCATCATCACTCCTGGCTGCCACCAGACACTCAGAGAACACTCCACCTTCCAGCGACACAATCAATGGGTGGATTGATAAGGGACTACCAACCGTCGCACTGAGTGTGCAGCAACAGGTAACGCTCTCGACCATTGCAGGGGTTATTCGCGGTCAAGGACTCTATTTCATGGCTGATTATTGTTTGGATCTAGCTGCTCGTTCTAAAATGAGGCGTTAAAGTGTTCCTGCTTCATTGCTTGTTGGGTCGTCTCTAAACTGGGTTCGTTACGCTTGTGACCAGTCTCATTGCATAATCAATTAGCTGTGGCGAATGCAGTCGCCGTCTTTATTCTGGAAGATTTTGTCGTATTACCCTATCTGATGATGAGTCAGGGGACAGGCTAAGCAGTCTTGTTCCTAACAAATTTCATCTCCCTTCGTGATGCAGTTGGTGGGACCAATCCGCGCTCGTGTTGACTCCAGATTCTCACTCGATCCAGCAACCCTCGCATCTCACCAGCGGCCGCACTTGCAAGAAGTAACTTATGGGATTGATTGCGCTTTGGAGTCACTGGGTGCAGCCAAGCTCGTGGTCTGGTATTCCCCTTCGAGGCGCGAGGGTATGGCCGAGCTTCGAATATTAGAAAGATGATTGAATTTCAGATTCCTCCTGTAACGCCAAAATGCAGGTTGAGAGGGGCAGATGTGAAGCTGCTGGTAAAGCCGAGGTCATGCAAGTTTACCCCTTGTCTCCATTAAAAGAGTCATCCCTTAGTCTGAAGGTACCTGCGTACCTAGATACAACATGGGCACTCAATGCCTTCTACAAGCTGGAATCTTGTGTTTTCAAGAAAACTCTCTCTACTTCACCACAGGTTACAAAACCTCCTAGGCCTAGGTTATGAACGGAAAGTGGAGATGTGACTACGAAGTGTCCACAATTTTTTGAGAAACCCTTGTTCTGAGAAACTTTGCCAAAACGTTGGAGCAGTACGTGCCAATTCAGCTTGCTAAAGGCCTGACTTCAGCGCCTTGTAAAGGGTGATCTTTGTACTGCTGCTGGCCATCTGCCTGAGGGTTACGTACCCGGCGATGCAGTCGGCCAGGTACGTATATGAACTCGAGCAGCTGGAGTGTGAACTTTAGATTTCTCATGGATAGTAACAGCCAGCAGATAGGCTTCATCTGTTAGCTTGTGAGCTATTGCCAGTTCTCGGCACTAACTTGCGTGCCCGTCCGTTGCATGTACATGTCGACAAATTTTTTTTTGTTGACAGTGATGGCTATTATATCGTGTAAAGTCATCTTCACATTATTCCTGGTCTATTGGAACACAGTTCATATGTATGAATACATCGTGCTCTCTTACAGTTACTGCCGCATTGTGGCAATGCCTGTCACGACTTACAGTATTACATCCGTTCGTTCGGACACCACTAGTGAGGGTGTCTGTTGTCAGGAACTTCGGATACATGCAGAGTTTTACAACAGGTATTGCTGGTCCAGATGGATGACATATCGACATTTATTTAGTTTTAGTCGGTTGCATGGACTCAGAAACATGGTCCGACACTTAGCCAAGAAACCTGACATTGTGCGTTGTATGTTGTGAAGGGGAGTTGATGACGACATCACTAGCGGCAATCTATCCCAGTTAGATTCTAATTTCTACGAATACCTTGGTTTCTGGACTGCAACCAACCACATGTCGTAAAGGTGTATGGTACATAGAGCGAGAAACCCGTAAATACTTGATCGTAACTCGTCCATATTCCCTTCCTCACCATGTTCTCGAGACACCAAGACAAGGAGGGCTCTCGCTTGGAGTGGAGAGGTCAAGGGCCATTTCCTTGACCTGTCCACATGTTCTTCACGTCATTAAAATTTCACATGAATGACGAGGAAAGTACCGTGACTCCCATCATCTACCCACTTCGTTTCATTTGTAATGACATCTTCCCGCCAAAGAGGGCACGACAGAAGGCGACGTTGTGACCCATCCAACATCTGCTGATCCACATCTAGCTCTAACGTCCCATCGGCAGACATGCACGACGTCATTCTAGCCAAGAGCTCGTTCATCAAGCGAGCCTTTTCATGTGGTGCAAGCTGGCAAGATTCAACCGGTAGCCAGCATATAGTTTTGTCATCCACAGAGAATGATTTTGGATACACTTGTGTTCATGAAAAACCGGCGGTCTGATTCCGCAGTTGACTACAGAGAGTAGTAACCTGTTGCGGACAAGTCTTACCTTTAAGTTTATTGACGGCCCTAAAACAGTAGAGTTTGTTTATTGAAAGTATGTACACACTACAATCTCCAGTTACAGATGACGGCAAATTTCCTTGAGATATCACGAGACCCGGTTATGTTCATGCGTAATATCCTCGACAATCCTCAGCGCAGCATGTCGGCGCTGCACGTGAACAAATATAAAGACATCAATCACAACCAGATCCCTAGAGACCAACTCGCCGTTGACGATGAGAGGCGGACATCACAATAAACCTCATTTCTTTCACAACATTATACCTCTTCCTTTGCAGCTTACATCAACCTCCATATCAGAGGACCAGAGTCACATCACAAGGACTCCAGGTAACCAATATGGGACTTTTCGAGTCCACATCCTGTGCTACTGATTGCATAAAATAATGATTACAGTGAAGAAATTGAAGTTCCTACAAAAAAGGTAAACCGCTGCACCCCGATGTTAAAGGGTGACTTTTTGGTATTATTTCGCCTTTTTTTGGGGCTCCTCTTTCATGTCGAATGCAGCACATTCACAAGGATTTCAGGCAACCGTCGATGAGCCTCGGTAAATTACAGTAAAGCTCGTCATATTGAAGTCACCACCGCAGTCTACAACTCTAAAACACTAGGACTGACGGGAACCAGCAACTAGTCGTAAATCTCAGCCTAAACCTACGAAGGTTTAGAGAACTCGACCATTAATTAGAGGGCAAGAAAGGATCACAGTCGGGATTTTTGACTGCATCTTTTACATGGAATTGCGTGTGCAGAAGATCTAAGAGTGTACCTATGCCTACAAAAGTGATAGACCAATGAACTCTCACTGACAAAAAAGCATCAGTGATACGTTGGGTGTTCAAATCTTCCTCGACACTCTTCTTCGAGGATACTGCCTCCAGTAGCAGCAGAAATAGTCCTCAGTTACCTCGGTAGGTTTTGCTTGAATATAGAGAAGTGAGAAAACCTGAAGGGCTATCGGTAAACAAATAACTGTACATATTCACAGGTACTATATTTTCAAGAACAACACTTCGAAGGAGGGGGCGCCTGTGGTTGATCATCGACGACGATCAGGCTCTTCCGATGAGCTACTGATGACATCCCTTCCGGGCTTTCACCTTTTCTTACCTCCAGCACACCTAAAGCAAACAACGGTAAAAATTGTCACTGTAAGTGTACATTCCAATGTATGCATCAGTAAAGCTGAATTCAAAAAAACCAGGAAGTCTTCTTTTATGTCGAGGAAGTACAGTGTTACTAGGGTAACTTTCGTGCGTTGATCTAGCTCATCAGCTAGATCATAATCTTTCGTTCATCTAGCGAGGGAAGAGAACCTGGTGGGAGTTGTTGAGTGTTACTAGCTGTCTTCATAAAGATGTCACGTCCATAGAAGAGTGGAAAGGGTTCTGCTCAATTGAGAACGAAGAAAGACAGAAAGAAGTTTCACCACATGGAGACAAATACACAATAATTATTAGATCATGTCGTATGTCATATGTCATTAGTAAGCGTATTCTTACGTTTTGCAACGTCTAAGAAGGCCTCTTCAATCCCAGTATTTGACTTTGCTGATGTCAAAAAATGATGGGCTCCGATTGACTCTGCATATCTGTAGGAGGAAGACAAGCGAGGTCCAAAAAGTTAAGACAAAACTCAGTAGACGCCTGAATTTTCTGAGGTCTATCAAACTGTCACTAATGAAGAAAACCCAAACTTGTATCACTGTGACAACGACACCCTGTTGCTATAGCATCCCCGACATGCTACGAAGCTCGGTGTAGTCATTCCATGAAAAGACAACGACATCTGCGACAAAGAATCAATCATAACCTTTCGGAATCTTGAAGGTCAACTGTTCGATGTCGATCCATATCACACTTATTGCCAGCAATAGTCAGAACTATATTCTTATTTGCCATCTTGCGCAGCTCCTTCACCCAACTTTTAACCCGAGCAAAACTGTCCTTGTCCATAAGGTCATAAACTAACACGGCGGCTGCTTGATCAAAGTAGAACTCAAATTATTATCACAGAAGGTGAGTAAACAAGTTTACATAGTAAACTCCCCCAGTTCCTCAAGCATGTTCCTGCATACGTACCTATCTGTAAAGTGGCAAACACAGAAGAAAGAGAAGTACTGCGGCAAATAGTTCTAACTCAAAACAGCAGACACTCACCATCTGCGTCCCTGTAATAGATCGGCCCGAGTGCATGGAAGCGTTCCTGACCTGCAGTGTCCTGCCATGCGTATGTAACTAATAAGATGAGAAGACTGAACATGCAAACATAAAAGATATGGACTTACTCATGTTTGAAATTTCAAAAGCAACACAAATTGTACAACTAGAATATTTCGCAGCGCTGATAAAGGTCAGGAAGCAAGAGCTGAGAACTCAACAAAGATAAGCAAACAATTTCGATTCGGCCATATTCACAACAAAAACATTCACAGAAGGCTCAAACAAAGCAACTGACCCAGATGGCAAGGGTGACGGTGAGGCCATCAACATTAACTCGTTTTGTTAGGTATGAGGCTTGAATTGTTGCGGTCTGTTTGTCCGAGAAAATATTGTTAACATAACGTAACACCATAGACGTTTTCCCGACGCGCCCTGCATTGGAGATACATCATTCATTTCAGTACTTCTATCTTCATATATTTGAATTTTCACGCGAAATTCTTAAAAAGCAAGGGATTAACCTTAATGTCATCATACTCGGTAATTGAGAAAACACAGGGTCAACCATGTGGAGATAAGTTCCATCCTTCCAAATAGGAATTACTAGTACGTCTCCACAGCAACAATTGCAATTTCACCGGAAAAACTAAGTAAGAATACGAGGCCAAATTATGCACTACGCTCCTATTAAGGCATGGCTCTGCCAGGAAAACATTCGAGAGCATCATCACCATCTAGCTGATCGGGGTCACACAGGGTAAAGTCTGATGCACGAAAATCTCATCTTCAGCATTGCAGCCAACGATGGATGCGAAACATCTTAAAACTTCCTCTGGAGAACACAGACCGAAGGAAAGTAACGGATTTACAGTGTGGTAGGTAAGTAAAGGACGAAACAGAATTCGACCTTTATAAGAGACATGTGTGACATTCCCCAGTACGAAAGTACGTGTGAATTGCCGTAATTCCCACGTTCCAGATATTACTTAAACACCCACGAGCAGGAAAGCAGAATTACCATCTCCAAGGAGGACGAGCTTAAATGTCGGGCCAGGCCTCATGCTGCCCCGCCCAAAGAAATCGTAATCGCGTAATGGGACTCAGCCTTTCAACATCTGCAATGAGCGATCAATACAATATTTGAAAGAGATCGGAGCCAACTGAAGGTCCATGTTTCGTGCTACACCGTGGAGGAAATAAATGACGAATTTTCCAAAACAACTCTCACACTCTCGCTCGGTCTCCTAAGTCCCTGCATTGCCGAGAGGGCGAAGAAAAATCTGGACAATTCACAGCCGAGAAACGATCAACACACAAATCTCGAACGTGACGGACGACCAAGGTTTAGTTCCGTTGGAAGAATCAATCCCACTGACGATCAACATCCAACCCCAGGAGGTATCGTCTTCGCCTTCGCCAACGCCGACCATTACCTGCTCGTTGCAACTCCACCTTCCTCCATCATCGCCGACGGCTCCCCTACCCTTCTCGTCCGCCCGGCGACAATAAACAAATCGAAGAAAAGGAAAACGGTCGCGCCACGAAGGGCCGGGCCGGGCGGGGCCCCGTGACCCTTCTGGCGCAAGGACAGAATCAAACGGACGAGGCGAGAATCGGAGGCGATAAAAGCACTCCCCCAATTGAAGAGGAGGAGGAGGAGGAGGAGGAAGAAGCAGAAGCAGAAGAGCGCAGACAGACGCAGCGAATCAAGAAATGCTCGGCGGCCGAAGGCAAGCAAGGCAGTGAAGGCAGTGTGCAGTGAAGTGAAGTGGGCGATGGGCGCTGGGCGCACGCTCGGTCAGTCCTCCAGCGCACGCCCGCACGCCAGCCAGGCTCTCTGGCATTGCTTTGCATCCAAGGCATGCCATGCCATGTCATCCCATCCCAGGCCTTGGACAGTCATTTTCGCCCAAATTCCTTTTCCCGACAATTTTCTCTCCACCTGTTCCCATACTCTCAAACTGTAAACAAATTCATTTATTAGACCCATTCTACTCTAGGACTACCGACATCATTAAGGTTGTGTTTCGGTGCACAGAGTACTTAATGTCAGATTTTGCTTCAAGTGATGTATATGCTGTTGCAAATGTGGATCGACTTATTTTATATGCCGAGTCATCGTTTGTGACATCTTCTTCAAAATTCAGTGAACAGTTGATACCATTACATCACTGTCTCATGACATAGAGCAAAGTTCATCATTATTCGTAAATTGCAACTGTTATTTTTGAAAGATTGTATACATAAATTTTTGCTCGACATTCCAAACTTTTTTGTGGACAGTAATCTAATATTTTATGTAACATATGTACCTTGTGAAGAATGTAGTGATCATATCTAGGATTGCATTGTGTAGATGATTACATAAAGTAAATTTGAAGAATAACCTTTTGAATTTTTTGAAAGATTATGCAATCAAAATAATTGTAAATAAACAAAAGATTATATCCATGCATTGTTTTAACTTTATTTTGATCCTCATCAATATATTTGATAAAAGCTAACCAAATGCAAGAATTTGACATTCCATATCAATAACATTCAATGTAAATATGATCAATCAAATCACATTATGAAAGCAAAAAATATACAACAATTTATAAATAAAAATATATCTATCAAAAAATATATCTCTCAAAAATACCATAATTAAAATTAATTACAAAATTTCTTAACTCTGAAATTTATATTCAAATAAGATTTTATTTAAGTTTTAATAAAAAATTTCAATCAAAATTCTAAAATTAAGAATGAAATTGTAGAATAATACATTCATTTTTTGTAAGTCAATGTCAAAAATTGAACCATTAATGATTTTGAAGTTTGGATAAATTTGTTGAGATGAACTCCGGTTAAGGAGTAACCCTATGTGTAGCTATAGCTAAGATTGGTAGCTGATGTTGGATATGTATATACCCAGTATCTGTGTATTACCAAACAGTGCGCAAAGTATACTATCATGATGCTTTTCCCCGGTGTATGTAGCCCTTGAGGGTAGGCCTCCGCAAGATAAGGTAAATGTTTCATGAATAATCCAATGTCCTCTACCTTTACTTTATCCTTACCCTAACCTCATTGTTCATGCTTTACTTATACCTTTACTTTACCCGTTAACGGAATAATATCCAATAAAAATTTAAAAATACACTTTCCCTTTACTTTATCCGTTAACAATGTAATTACCCAAAAAAAAAAATACAATTTGACTTTACTCGGATAATTACGCCAAAAAATAAAGATACACATTACTTCTACTTTATCTGTTAATCGGGTAATTATTCAATAAAAAAATTACACTTTACCTTTATTTTACCTGTTAACCGGTAATTATCCTATAAAAAATACATTTTTTATCTTTACATTACCTGTTAACCGGATAATTTTCCAATAAAATATTCATTAACCTTTACTTTACTCGTTAATTGAGTAAATATCTAATGAAAAATACACCTGATTTTTACTTTAACCATTAACCGTGTAATTATCCAATAAAAAATACACATGATTTTTACTAATTCAATAAGAATAAAAAACACTTCACTTTGATTGACGAGTTAACTTGGTAATTACATCAATAAAAATAAAATTATATATTTCATAAACTTTCAGTTCAGATTGGATTCAAAGACCATTTCTTTGAATTGGTTGTTGAGCATCTACATCACACCGTCATCAAAGACTTCCTCATACTAATCGTCTTGTTCAATCTCCAATTGGTTGATGACATCTTCAATCTCATCCGTGGTGTACTCTTTATCAATGAATACAATTGCCGTAGCTGCTCTTGTTCAATTTGCCAACACTTTGATTATCTTTGCACCCATCCATGAATGTAAGCACGTGGTCATGATAAACACCGATGACAAAAGTGACTGTCAAGAGCTGCTCAATTCACGACCAACAGCGCTATTGACACGCTCTGATGGTGTCGACGTCGTCGACATCCCAAGATAATCCATGGCCATCTAATAGTGTGCAAGCAAGATATCCATGCGGGCTCACCATCATGACAAAATGTCGATAAAACCCTTACACTAGACGTCGCTGATGTATAAGAATTGATCTACCTCATCTAACATGCTATTGTCGCTCCCTAGTTGAAACATGGCCTGAAAAAGCAAATTGGTCAATTTTTTGAATTTTATCAGTTAAATTGCAAGACTGCAATTCGACTGAATAGTTGCACCAAAGAGTGGATCAAATGAGATCTGTCAATTTTTTTAGTTGCAGAGAGTCATATAGTTTTGCTATTTATGGATTGAGGTAGATTACAGCCATGACCGGTTCTAGCACTAATAGTTTTTCATATTCTTCTATCTTTTCCCGCATTGCGGTTACCGTAATTTTGGGATTGATTGCTAATAGCTGTAACTCACTTGTTTGCAATGCTTTACAAGATGAGCAATGGATATGAGCAACATGTCAAGCGTTGGTCTCTGATCCGCGACTAGGTTTGCATGACTTGGCGTAGCGCTTGCAGAAAGGTGACCACATCGTTGATCATTTGCCATTGATTATCACAAAGAGAAGAACGACCGATGTCAATTACAAATTGCTTCATGATACTATCAATGATAGCTTAATTTTCAAAAGCATCGACTTTCATTTCATATGTAAAATTCCATCTTGTCATAGAATCCTCATGTGTCGGCTCCTTGCTTTTGGTACTATCAGCTGCAGCCTCCAAGCGATATTGTTGCCGCATCAACTTGTTACAACAAATCTTAACAAGTGCATTGCGCAACGCCTCTATTGAATTATTTGTGAAACTAAGTACTTTGACAACGACAAGTTGAATCGAATGAACGGCATAACGCACATGATTACAATTGGTCATCTGCTCAAAGCCAACTGACGCATTGATCAACTGACAAAGACGTTTAAGTGTAGCAACAACGTCGGAATCATTGTCGTTGACCTCGTTCAACAATCGTGTTACCGTGCCCTCATACTTCAAGTGTTTAAAAATAGCAGTTTCAATGCGTCGACCAACATTCATGCCGCAATCTACATCCATAATGATAAGTAAAATACTCTTTGGTGAAAGCTCTCCGATATCAATCCAATTTGCGATCACCACATAAAAGCCCTTGAGATTTTGATTTGACTAGCCGTCCATTGCTAGCGAAAATGCGACATTAAATTTGCTGAAGTATAATCCCAACATGGGCTGCAAGATAGGATAAAGCTCCATAATTTGCCTCAGAATTGTTCGTGTTAATGAAAACGCATACCCATTTGTGAGTGTGGATACCATCATCTTGAAACGTTCACCGTTGGTTGGTTACACAGTACGTAGAGTTACACCACCACCAATGATGTAATCTACAACAACATTTGCATACTTACAAAGAGTTTGTTCCAAGAATGCAGGCTTGTCAATTGTGAATGGGATCAAATTCTTGGCAAACGGTTTGAAACAAGATATTTCCTTATCTTTCATTCCATGTACCGATTCTTAATGGGACTTTCAACCTGAAGCATTGTTTTTTTGGAAATATCATTTTGTGCACAAGGTACATGTTTGTTTCGTCTTCTCATTTGAAGGATTCCTAGAGTTTAGGGTTTAGGTTTTAGAGTGTAAATACAAATCCTAAACCCTTGTAAACTCTAATTCAAGGAAAATTAAATTTTTGTCGTTTACACTTGGAAGTCACAACCGAAATCAATTCTACACTTTTGATATTTTCCTCTTTATGCACACAGTCAAACTCGACAACGCTATTGTCGTTGACAATGTTTGCATCACTCATCTTTATTAATGTGCTCACTAGGTTAATTCAATTACCTGACGTCTTCCAAGAATAACAAAAGATTGAAGTCAATCACCTAATATAAGTACCTACGGTAAAAATATGTTAGAGTATATAAATAAACTGTAATGCATTTTTCCCGTTCCACTCCTATAGCAAGTAACAAGTTGAAATATAATTTCAACCTTAAATTCAAGGGAAAAAAACATAATCACATAGTGTGCAATAGCACACTATGTGATTGCATGTCAATGTTACACTTCAAATATATGAGAATAGAAAAAACAATAGCTATTTCATGCAAGTCCATGTTGCACTTAAAATATATGAAAACAAAGGGAGGAAAAAAATTGCACATACCT